TGTTGTTTGGCGGGTCCGGGCTGGGGATTCGAACCCGCCACCTTAGGTGTACGTGGCTGGCGCCTTAGCCGGTTGAGCTATCGGCGCCGAGCCACACCCATCTATTTTTTAATGACAGGGTCTCGCTCTGGCTGGTCTTGAACCTGTGAGCTCAGGCAATCCATCTGCCTTGGCCTCCTAGAGTGCTAGGATTACAGGCATGAGCCATCGCACCCAGCCTATTTTGACTCTTTTTTAATTCTTTGAGACCATCTTGCTCTGTTGCCCTGGGTCTAGAGTGTCCTGGGCTCAAGAGATCCTCTTGCCTCAGCCTCCGAGTAGCTGGGACTACAGGCACCCACCACAACGCCTGGTTAGTTTTTTCTATTTTTATTTTTATTAATTTATTTTTTTTTTTTTGAGACAGAGCCTCAAGCTGTCCCCCTGGGTAGAGTGCTGTGGCATCATAGCTCACAGCAACCTCAAACTCCTGGGCTCAAGGGAGTCTCCTACCTCAGTCTCCCAAGTAGCTGGGACCACAGGTGCCCACCACAACACCCAGCTATTTTTTTGGTTGCAGCCATCATTGTTGCTTGGTGGGCCCAGGCTGGATTCGAACCCGCCACCTTAGGTGTATGTGGCTGGCGCCTTAGCCACTTGAGCCACAGGTGCTGAGCCAGGTTTTTCTATTTTTAGTAGAGACTGGGTCACACTTTTTTTTTGAGACAGTCTCACTATGTTGTCCTCAGTGGAGTGCTGTGGCGTCAGTAACCTCTAACTCTTTTGTTGTTGTTGCAGTTTGGCTGGGGCCGGGTTTGAATCTGCCACTCTTGGTGTATATGGGGCCGGTGCCCTACTCACTGAGCAACAGGCACCTCCCCACAACCTCTAACTCTTGGGCTTAAGCAATTCTCTCGTCTTGGCTTCCGAGAGTGCTGAGATTACAGGTGTGAGCCCCTGTCCTGGGCTCTATTTTGGTTCTTTAAACAGGGTTTGAGGGATGTTGTCTGGTCTTGGGGCTCGTCTGTCTGTTGCAGCGCTAACTCTGAGGGTCTGTCTGCTCCCTGGGACACTGGGCATTGCCTTGCCAAGGTCAGCTCTGGGCACCTACAGCGTGAGCTGAGAGCAGGTGTGCTGTGCCTGAGCTGCCCTCTTGCCTTTTTCTGGGGCAGCCACTGTGGAACGGGAGATGGAGCTTCGGCACAAGAATGAGATGCTACGCGTGGAGGCTGAGGCTAGAGCACGAGCCAAGGCTGAGCGGGAGAATGCAGACATTATTCGAGAGCAGATCCGCCTGAAGGCAGCTGAGCAACGCCAGACCATTCTGGAGTCTATCAGGTAAGTGTTTGGGTAAGGCCTAGGCCTCTTGAGTGTTTTCCAGCTGTCTGGTGCCCAGGCAACTTGGGCTGGCCCGCTAGGGGGAGCTCCACCCTCTGTCCTGGCAGGTTCTTCTGGGCACCAGCCTTTGGAGGGACCTCACAGAATCAGGAGCTTTGTCAGGGTCTCACCCTTGACCACTTGGTTATATGGCTGTTTTCTCTTGCAGGACCGCTGGAACCCTGTTTGGAGAAGGATTTCGTGCCTTTGTGACAGACTGGGATAGAGTAATGGCCACGGTAATCACATTTCCCCAGCAGGTGGGCAGCCACAGGGTGGTCTATGAGAGCCTCCAGGGCCCTGGTCTGCCTCTGATAGGCCCCTGGCCCTCTCCTAGTACACCAGACATTGATATATGGAGTGGAGTGAACGCCTTCTTGTTCTGTGGGCTGGGGCCATTTCTTCCTTCTGTTCTTCCTCTCTTCAGAAACCTGGGAGGAGAAAATGTATGTGGCTGTAATGGGGCAGTATGTTTGGGGCATTTAGACCAGCTCAGTGTTGATCTCAGCAGTTAGTCTCCCAAGGCTGCAGGGAAGACATGGGGAGGTGCTAGAGCTTCACTTTTGTTTTCCTTAGAAGTTCTTGTCTTTTGGAGAGTGAGACAGCGAAGCTTCCACAGAGTGGGTATAGCCCAGCCTCTAGGGCAGGTGGCTGCTTTGGGTTCAGGGAACTGGTCATGGTTCAGCCTCTTGCCTGCTGTGGCAGGCTCCATGTCACCCATAGCTGTGTTCCCTCACTTCACTGCGTGCACACAGTGGATGCCCTATGTAGAATGGGTGCTCGATGTGCAGCAAGGGACCGTTCTTGGAAATGTGGCACTGTAGTTTCCTGCTGAGAGCCCTATAAGCACAGCTTTGGGTGTCCACTGAGGTCACCAAAGACACTGTCAACAAGAAGGGACTCTGTCACCCAGACTGGAGAGCAGTGGCACAGTCACAGCTCACTGCAGCCTCCGACTCTGTGGCTCCAGCATACTCCTGCTCCAGCCTCCTGAGCAGTTGGGACCATAGGTGTGAGCCACTGTGCCCGCCTGTGACCAATTAGTTTTTAGAAGGAATTGGTGGGTTTGGGTTGGCCTTGTTACCAGGCATAAGCAGCAGAGGGTGTGACCCTCAAGGTGCACTCATTTGCCCTTGGAGCCTCGGTGCCTTTCATTGCAGTAGCAAAGAATGGGCCTTGTGATGAGCCTTTTTTTTTTTTTTTTTTTTTTTTTTTGAGACAGAGCCTCAAGCTGTCCCCCTGGGTAGAGTGCCATGGCATTACAGCTCACAGCAACCTCCAACTCCTGGGCTCAAGCGAGTCTCCTGCCTCCGCCTCCCAAGTAGCTGGGACCACAGGCGCCCGCCACAACGCCTGGCTATTTTTTGGTTGCAGCCGTCATTGTTGTTTGGCGGGTCCGGGCTGGGGATTCGAACCCGCCACCTTAGGTGTACGTGGCTGGCGCCTTAGCCGGTTGAGCTATAGGCGCCGAGCCGTGATGAGCCTTTTAGTGACCCTGCCTGTCACCTATAACCAAGCCTTGCTGTGGGAGAGTTGGGGCCCAGTTGGGGCCACTACGTGACCCCTGTCCCTGGGCTGCAGGAGGAAGTGGGGTGGTGAGGTGTGTCATCTGTCTCCACTCTAGGTAGCTGGGCTGACGTTGCTAGCTGTTGGGGTCTACTCTGCCAAGAATGCCACGGCAGTCACTGGCCGGTACATTGAGGCCCGGCTGGGGAAGCCGTCGCTGGTAAGGGAGACATCTCGCTTCACGGTGCTGGAGGCGCTAAGGCACCCCATCCAGGTAAGGTGCCTGGAGCACTGCTCATGACAAGGCATCTCCAGCATTGCATTTTGCCCAAGTGCTACTTCCTCCCAGGAGTCCATCTGTGCCGATGTTAGGGAGTCCCTTGCTGTCTGCGTCAGCCTCCTCTGCCTGGGTCGATGGGACCCTGGGTGCAATTTGGGGCAGTTTACAAATCCTGGGGCTCTCACATGCTGTCATTCTATCCGGGAAGTTGCCACAAGTGCAGTCCCTGCAGCTTCTCAAAGGGCCCCGCAGCTCTGGGTTGGCACCTTCCCAGCATGCCTGTCCCATGCAACTGTGACAGATCTCTGCTGATCTTAGCGTGGATGATTGGGAAAATAAAAGTCCACAGAGAACCATAAATCACCCAAACCCCCCAGCCAGGGCAACGTCCAGAGTCCCAGGATAGGGGTCCTGGCCCTGTGTTCACAGATGCCCTATTTTTTCATGGCCCTGCCCAGCTGCTCCCATGGGGGCAGTGCTGTGCTGTGGCCATTACAGCTGACCCGACGGTGTCCCCTCCATAGGTCAGCCGACGGCTCCTTAGCAGGCCTCAGGATGCACTGGAAGGTGTCGTCCTCAGCGTAAGTCCAAATGTGGCCAGTGCTCAGGGAAGGGATGTTGGGTCCGAGCTGTGCTGCGTCCATTGGGGCCCTTATGCTGTTGCCCAGGATGTTTTGGCTTCTCAAGTACAGTTTGCCATCTGCCCAGCCCTCAAGTTGGAGTGAGCTCCCCATCCGTAGAGAAGAGTCCCCCCAGGCCCTGTCTCCTCTTTTCTCACAGCCCAGCCTGGAGGCGCGAGTGCGTGACATCGCGATAGCAACAAGAAACACCAAGAGGAACAAGAGCCTGTATAGGAACATCTTGATGTACGGGCCCCCTGGGACCGGCAAAACACTGTTTGCCAAGGTGAGTGCCTAGCTGTGTGCTGGGCCAGCCCAGAGGCAGATCCCCGGGACAGGGCTCGTTGTTGGGTGGAGGACAGACTCACATCTCCCCCAACCCCTCCTTCCCAGAAACTCGCTCTGCATTCCGGCATGGACTACGCCATCATGACGGGTGGGGATGTGGCCCCCATGGGGCGGGATGGTGTGACCGCCATGCATAAGGTCTTCGACTGGGCTAGCACCAGCCGGCGAGGGTAAGATGTCTTCTGATGCACAAACCATGCTGCCTACTGGGGACAGGGTCTGACTGGCTTTTGGGAACCCTGTTTTCCTGTAGCCTTGTCCACAGAGGGTTGGGCCCAAGTGTTTGTACTTTGGGGCCTGTTACATAGAGTATGGAGCTCTAGTGATCATGGGGCTGTTACTAGGAGATGCTGCCAATGGGATGTTGAATTTAGGACTAGGAGGGAGGTGGGCAGTACAGATAGGGTAGGGCCTTCGGCAGCCTTGGGACCCCAGCCCAGGTGTGTGCTCATGGGAAGGCATGTGTACACACTTTCTTTTGAAAGTTAGTTGGAGAGGCTCAGCGCCTGTGGCTCAAGAGGCTGAGGCACATACACCCAAGGTGGCAGGTTTGAATCCAGCCCGGGCCCGCCAAACAACAATGATGGCTGCAACAAAAAAATAGCTGGGCGTTGTGGCGGGCGCCTGTGGTCCCAGCTACTTGGGAGGCAGAGGCAGGAGACTCACTTGAGCCCAGGAGTTGGAGGTTGCTGTGAGCTGTGATGCCACAGCATTCAACCCAGGGTGTCAGCTTGAGGCTCTGTATCAAAAAAAAAAGAAAGTTAGTTGGAAAGGACCAGACGTAGTGACTCACACCTATAATCCCAGCACTCTGGGTGGTGGAGGCAGAGTCAGGTGGATTGCTTGAGCTCACGAGTGCGAGACCAGCCTGAGCAAGAGTGAGATCCCATCTCTAAAAAATAGCCAGGCATTGTGGTGGGTACCTGTACTCCCAGCTACTTGGGAAGCTGAGGCAAGAGGATCACTTGAGACAAAGAGCTTGAGGTTGTTGTGAGCTGTGATGCCATGGCACTCTACTGAGGGCGAGTAAGTGAGACTCAATCTCAAAAAAAAAAAAAAAGAAAAGAAGCTAGTTGGAAATGTGATCTTCCCTCCAAATAAGGTATCACACTGATCCTTGAAGCAAAGTCCACCTGGCCCAGCTGTAGAAGCTTCTCACTTTAGAAGACCCCTTCCCTTGGACATTGGCTGTGAGCAGCCTCTGACCTGCACCTCTCTGTCCCAAGAGGATCTGAGCAGAACCTGTTGGGTGGGGGCACTTCCTGCCTTAGACCTCAGCCTGCTGGAAGCGCTAAGGGCAGAATATGGTCTGGGGTCTTGATGCAGTGAGATTTGGTTTCTGTTTGATGGGTGTATTAGAGCTCCAGGTGGGGCAGAGCCTGCACTGTGGGCAGGATGCTCCCTGGTGTCTGCTCAGTGCAGCGTGCTTCTGACATCTGCTCCTGGCCTTCACATGTTGTCCCTGCTGGGCCACCCTCTCATTCACAGCCTCTTGCTCTTCGTGGATGAAGCAGATGCCTTCCTTAGGAGGAGAGCGACGGTGAGTATTGTCTGTGCATGAGGGACTAGGCGGGTGCACCGCAGGCCAGGGTTGGCCTGCCCACCCTTCAGCTGCTGGTTCTTGCAAGCTTTGGTGGAAAACTGACCTCATATCTGTATCTGGAGATTTTCTGGCATGGTGCGTCTGAGACTCTGCATCTCAGGCTGCTGTCTTGTGACCTATGCCATCATTTTCTTTCTGCAGGAGAAGATAAGTGAGGACCTCAGGGCGACCCTGAATGCATTTCTGCACAGGACTGGCCAGCACAGCAGCAAGTAAGGGCAGCCTGCTGGGTAGCACTGGGCCCATGGGTCCTGGTCCTCACATGGAGCCTGGGTGTCCATTCTGGGTTCTCTCATCCTTTCCCTCCTTCCCCTTGGCTTCAGCCATGCACCTGCCTATATGGAGTGGGGGTGGGTTGGGCAGCAGATCCCATCCCAGTGCCTGGGGTGAGAGGCTCTGTGAAGGCTGTGATGCCCTGGGATGTCCTGTGTGTCATGTGGAGCACAAGGTGCCTGGTCTTGACGCAGTCCTTTTCGAAGCATCCCAGGGTAACCCCCGAAGTGGGTTGTCAGGACTGTCCCCTGAGGCAAGGAAGGATGGGCTTTTCCAAGTTCCCTCATCTCGATTCCTTGCATAGGCTGGGCCTGTCCAATCTGCAGCCTACTCCACAGGGAGGACCATGGCCCACTGGTCAGCCTGTTGGTCAGCAAGTGGCTATCTCCTCAGATGCGTCCCTCTTACTGGCTGTGGCTGCGGCTGCCACCTGCAGTTCCTTTGGGTAGGCCCTAACTCAGGCCCTCCCCAGAGAGGCAAGGTTAGGTCCCAGACAAGCCAAGTGGTTACCTCTGCTCAGCTGAGCTCCGGCCCTATGAGCGTGGCTCCCCATGTGGTCAGGCCTCTGCCCTGGGCCCTGGGTCCCCTTCCCTACTGTCACACAGTGAGGGCCAGGTGGCATTCCAGTTCATGCTGCCCCATCCAGCCGGCCTCAGTCAGTGGGGAAAAGTAAAATTGGGGGAAGAACAGACCCTCAGGCAGCCAAGGATCCAGGCCACACAGATGAGCCAGACAGGGAATGGGAAGGACAGAGCATATGGGAAGGGCAGAGTGGATGAAAAGGGCAGGTGGCAGAGTCTTCCAGGGCTTTCTAGGCTAAAGTTGTCATGTTAGATTTTAGAAGGTTTCCTGGGAGCTATACTGTGTGGTAGCACTTCAGTGACCATCCTTGTTACTACAGGTTCATGCTGGTCCTGGCCAGCAACCAGCCCGAGCAGTTCGACTGGGCCGTCAACGACCGCATTGATGAGATGGTCAGCTTCAGCTTGCCCGGGCAGGCAGAGCGGGAGCGGCTAGTGAGAATGTATTTTGACAAGTATGTTCTCAAGCCGGCCACAGAAGGACAGCAGTAAGTGTCACAGTCCCACCTTCCTCTTCGCCTCCAGACACATCTCTCTCACCTGCAGTTTACCAGGTGCTGTGAGCACAAGTGCCCTTTGCTGGCCCCTCTGCCCCCCCACCCCAGATGCCTCTGCTCTGGAGCCCACCGTCCTCATGTCTTTACCCGAGTGGCCTGTCCCCACCTGCAGCTGGGGTTTGGATCAACAGCCTGTCACACACAGACTTGCTCTGTTATCTGACATCCCTTAACTATCTATACCTAAGCCTGGACAAGGGGCAGCGATGGCCTACAGTGGCCGCTCTTGTATTAGTTTTGGGTGCTGCCCTGAGGGCTGCTGGAGCTGCTTGGTGTGGGATACAGCTCTTGTCACACACACCTTGAGTCCTCAGACTCCCAGAACTGATGTGGGGTGGGGGAGTGGGGGCAGAAGGAGCTGTACCCCCTCAAGCTAAGCTGGGCAAAGGCAGGCTGTTGTATTTTTAACCTTCTCCAGGGGACCCGGTCCTACCACACTGGACTCGGAGTCCTGTGTGCCTGACCCAAATCTTTCCCATGACCAGCCATGTCAGAAGCCATTGCCTTTAGGACATGGCTCACTTCACTGCCCCTGCTGCTGCCTGTGCTCCCTGTGAGCCCTGCTCTCAGGGCCTCCTTTCTTCTTGCCCAACTCCCGGTGGCCCCAGCTGCCATGGTCCCAATATCTAGCTGCAGTCTAGCCATAGCCCTGGCACCTTGACCTGGTTCCTATGACCTGTTCATGAGGCACCTCCTTGGCCTTTATTCAAACTTCATTGTGGGAAGCCAGGGCTGTGCCTCACAGTGGAGACAGGTGTTCTCTGCTGGGTCAGAGGTGCCATGGTCTGGGGGTTGAGCTAGGGGCTGTGCTGTTGGGGCAGGGTCTGTGAGGGTGGTTGGGCCTGGCTTTAGGCTGAGCTCCCATTGACTAGCCACCCACCCTCGGGAGAGTGCCCAATGTGCCAGGAAGGAAGGGCTGGGCATTGGGCAGGATGTGGCCGTCCAGGTGAAGTGCCCCCCAACGCCTCGCAGGAGGGCATCTGGCACCTGTCTTCCTGCCCCTGCACCACGCGGGTGCCCTCGCAGCCTCTGCCCTCAGCCCAGGCCCCACTGGGAACTCCTCCTGCAGGCGCTTGAAGCTGGCCCAATTTGACTACGGGAGGAAGTGCTCCGAGATTGCGCAGCTGACTGAGGGCATGTCGGGTCGAGAGATCGCCCAGCTCGCTGTGGCCTGGCAGGTGAGTAAGGGTGTGGGCTCCATGTCCTGGCCCAGGCCTGACTGATGGGGAGACCCTGACAGCTTCCTCTGCTCCAGTTCTGCTGCCCTGCATCACGTGGTTCACTGTGCTGTCCCTGAGAAGGTGGGCCAGGGTGTCAAGCTTGGGTTCATGTCCCATCTGGTCCTGGTCCATGTCAAGCTGGGCTTTCTGGATAGGTAGGCCCTTGCAATCCTGAGGGAATGTCACAGGTAAACCACTGGGCTCTGTCCTTTGTTGCTGCCAGGAGCTCTGCAGGCAGATGGGGAGCACAGGAGCGGCTGTCTTCCTGACGGCTCTGCCCTCAACCCTGAGGTCACGGGTGCCTGGTAGGCATGAGCCCAGTGTGTGTCCTCAGGTGTTGCTGCTTTGGAGGCGCATGCCATGTGTGAGTTGAGGGATAGGTCAGGGTGTTGTATCTCCTGGCCTGGGAGTACAGGCTTGGCCTTCCTCAGTGTGATTCAAGGTACATGGGCAAGATGGCCACTGTGTGTACCTGACACCTGCTTTCTCCTCTGCCTGGCATACCCCCAGAGTGCTGGCTGTAGCTACCCAGAAAACCTCGGCCCTTGGAGGTTGTTGAAGAGAAAAACCAGGTGTAGGGGAGGGTGTGGTGGCCCATGCAGGCTTGGAGGCCGAGTGGCTCCCTGGCTGCTGTGATTTCAGAGCTCCTGGAGTATGTAGGTAGCTACTTTGAAGCCCAAGTTCCCAGCGGTCAGCATGGTCAGCACAAGCTGGACACAGAAGCCCTTGACGCAGACATGTCCTTGTGAGTCAGCGGTGCTGTTTGCTGTGCCATGTGGGGGACCCAGGTCAGTCTCTATGACCAGCAGGCAGACAGAGTTTGCCTGACAGGCAGAGCCCATTGGGGCTGTCACTCCACTGCTGGGGCTTCCATAGCCGATACTTGTCTTGGATCTGGAGCCTAGAGTCTGAGCTGAGGATGCCTGTGCAGTCAGACCCCGGGTGTGGGAGGCCACAGGACTGATCTCCCCTGTCCTCATGTCCTACATGGCAGAGAGATAGGGAGAGGGAAGAAGCACTGCCCTGGATGGCTAGGGCCTGGCCCTCAGGGAGCAAACCCTTAGTTCCCAGCCCCTTCATGACCAGGACTTCTGCACCTGAGTTTGGGGAGGATACTGATGGCAAGTCCGTACCCTAGGTTGTGCCTTTGCATATGCCCCCTCCATGTTTCTTTGGCTGTGGTGGGTGACAGGCCTCTCCAGTGCTTAGAGCAGGTATCCTCAAACTACAGCCCATGGGCCACATTTGGCCCGCCTAGGTCATTTATCCGGCTCGCTGGGTATTTTTGCCGCCGCTGCCTGTCCTGCTTAGCAGCTGACTTGTCCCAGGACCCACAGTCTGGCCCTCCAACGGTCTGAGGGACAGTGAACTGGCCCCCTGTTTAAAAAGTTTGAGGACCCGTGGGCTAGAGGATGAGGGCTGGATGTGAGAGAAATGGCATGTGAAAGGCAGAGCCCCCAGCACACTGCCCCTGGGGTCTGTTCCATTGTGTGTCTTGTTGCTGATGTGCTCTGTCTCCGAGGAAGGGTGCATACAGCCTAAGTGCTGGTCCCTGCATGGACCCCCCGACTCTGCAGCCCCCAGGCCAGCTCACTGGTTTGCTTCCTGGAGCCTGTGAGTCTACACTCAAGAGAGTCATGTGTGCAGATTTGCTGCCTGTTTGGTGAAGTTTACCAGTTTTTGTTTGTTTGTTTGTTTTTGAGACAGTCTCAATTTGTCACCCTCAGTAGAGTGCTGTGGTGTCACAGCTCACAGCAGCCTCCAACTCTTAAGCTCAAGTAATTCTCTTGCCTCAGCCTCTCAAGTAGCTGGGACTACAGGTGCCTGCTACAATACTAGGCTATTTTTAGAGACTGGGTCTTGCTCTTGCTCAGGTTGGTCTTGAACCAGTGAGCTCAGGGCAGTCCACCCACGTTGGCCTTCCAGAGTTCTGGGATTATAGGCGTGATACTGTGCCCTGCCAAGATTACTGTTTTAATTATCTTTAAGTGCACATTGACATTATTTTGAAACTATCACCACTATCATCTGCAGAACTTTTTCATTGTCTTAGAAACTGCATCCAGGGCAGCACCTGTGGCTCAGTGGGTAGGGCGCTGGCCCCATATACCATGGGTGGTGGGTTCAAACCCAGCCCCGGCCAAACTGCAACAACAACAACAAAAAACAGCCAAGCATTGTGGTGGGCGCCTTTAGTCCCAGCTACTTGGGAGACTGAGGCAAGAGAATCACCTAAGCCCAGGAGCTGGAGGTTGCTGTGAGCTGTGATGCCATAGCACTCTACCAAGGGCAATAAAGTGAGTCTCTGTCTCTAAAAAAAAAAAAAAAGAAAGAAAGAAAAACTGTACCCGTGAAACAGGGACTCCCTGCCTTCCCTGGCTGCCAGGCACCCTCTGTGGAGCTGACTGCTCCAGGGCCTGTACTGGGGCATTGACAGTGTGTCTGTGGTTCACCTGTGCTGAAGTGTTAGAACTTCCTTCTTGGTGAGGCTGAATAGCACCCTGGTACACACATGACTACACTGTGTTCGTTTGCCACTTAGTAGATATTTGTGCTCTGTCTCCCTCTGGCTGTTGTGCATACTATGAGCTCATGTGTGCAAATGTCTGTCTGAGCCCTGGATTTTAGTTCTTAGGGTTGTGTGCCCAGAAGTGGAGTTGCTGCTGAGTGGTGCCTATGGCTCAGTTGGTAGGGCGCCGGCCCCATATACTGAGGGTTGTGGGTTCAAACCCCACCTCAGCCAAACTGCAACAACAACAAAAAATAGCCAGGCATTGTGGTGGGCAGCTGTAGTCCCAGCTACTTGAGAGGCAGAGACAAGAGAATCACTTAAGCCCAAGAGTTAGAGGTTGCTGGTGGCACCTGTGGCTCAGTGGGTGGGGCACCAGCTCCATATACTGAGGGTGGTGGGTTCAAACTCCCCACCCCGGCCAAACAGCAACAACAACAACAAAATAGATGGGTGTTGTGGTGGGTGCCTGTAGTCCCATCTACTCAGGAGGCTGAGGCAAGAAAATCACCTAAGCCCAGGAGTTGGAGGTTGCTGTGAGCTGTAACACCATGGCATTCTGCTGAGGGCAATAAAATAATTCTCTGACTCTTAAAAAAAAAAAAAAAGAAGTGGAGTTGCTGGACCACATATTGATTCTGTGTTTAGCTTTTTGAGGAGCCACAGTGACTGAACCACTTTATGTTCTGCTGACAGTGCACACAGGCTCCCATCTCCACGTGTTCATTCTTGCCAACACATCTTCCTGTGTTTGAAGGTAGCCACCCCAGTGGGTATGAGGTGCGTCCTGAGCCACTGATCTGCATATCCCTGGTGATTAGTGATGCTGAGCAGCTTCATGTGTACATATTAACCATTTGTGTATGCTTTTTGGAGCAGTATCAATTCATTTGCTCATTTTTTGAATCAGGTTTTTGTGGGGGTTTTTTGTTTGTTTTTGTTTTTTTGAGACAGAGCCTCAAGCTGTCACCCTGGGTGGAGTACCGTGGCATCACAGCTCACAGCAACCTCCAACTCCTGGGCTCAAGTGATCCTCCTGCCTCTGCCTCCCAAGTAGCTGGGATTATAGGCACCTGCCACAATGCCCAGCTATTTTTTGGTTGCAGCTGTCATTGTTATTTGGCGGGCCCAGGCTGGATTCGAACCTGCCAGCTCAGGTGTATGTGGCTGGGGCCTTAGCTGCTTGAGCCACAGGCACTCAGCCTTATTTTTTTGTTTTTTTGGAGACAGAGCCTCAAGCTGTTGCCTTGGGTAGAGTGCTGTGGTTCACAGCAACCTCCAAGTCCTGGGCTTAAGTGATTCTCTTGGGCCTCGGCCTCCCAAGTAGCTGGGACTACAGGTGCCTACCACAACCCCTGGCTATTTTTTGGTTTAGTTGTCATTGTTGTTTGGCAGGCCTAGATTGGATTCCAACCCGCCAGCTCTGGTGTATGTGGCTGGCGCCTTAGCAGCTTGAGCTACAAGCGCCGAGCCATGTTTTTGTGTTTTCATTGTTGGAATTGTTGATACATTCTGATTATTGAGTCTTTGTCAGTAATATAATTTACAAATGTTTTCTTCCATTTACTCAGTTGATAGTATCCCTTGATGCACAAAACTTTTTAATTTTGATAAAATCTGATTTATCTATTTTTTCTTTAGTTATATGAATGTATTTCCATTTTCTGATGTCTATCAGTGGTGTTTTATAGCTTGTGATTTTGGTATTATATCCAAGAAATCGTTGTGAAATCCAATGTTGTGAAGTGTTTTTTTCTAAGAGTTTTATGATTTTCTTATATTTCGGTCTTTGCTTCATTTTGAGTTACGGGCTCAGCAACATCTGTTGAAAAGACTGTCTTTTTCGGCTGGGTGTGGTGGCTCACACCTGTAATCCTAACACTTGGGAGGCCGAAGCAGGTGGATTGCATGAGTTTACAGGTTCAAGACCAGCGTGAGCCAGAGTGAGACCTCCTCTCTAAAAATAGCCAGATGGGGCGGCGCCTGTGGCTCAAAAGGGTAGGGCACTGGCCCCATATGCCGGAGGTGGCAGGTTCAAACCCAGCCCTGGCCAATAAATAAATAAATAAATAAAAATAGCCAGGTGTTGTGGCAGGTGCCTGTAGTCCCAGCTACTTGGACAGCTGAGGCAATAGAATCACTTGAACCCAAGAGTTTGAGGTTGTTGTGAGCTATGACACTATAGCACTCTACTGAGGACAACAAAGTAAGACTCTGTCTCCAAAAAAAAAAAAAAAAGAAAAAGACTGTTTCTTTTTCCTTGGCACCCTTGTCAAAAGCCACCTGACTGCACACATGAGGAGCTGATTTCTGGGCTCTCTGCTCTACTCCACTGTCCCCTGTCTGTCTTTGTGCCAGTGCCACATTATTCTGATGACTGTAGCGTTGCAATTTTGAACTGGAGAAGTCTGTGTCCTCAAGATGATGATGATGATGGTAGTTATTTTTAGCTATTTGTAATCCGTTAAGATTTCATATAAATTTTAGGATGGGTTTTTCTATTTTCCCAGAAACCTTCATTGTGATTTTTTTTTTTATTTTTTATTTTTTAGAGACAGAGTCTGACTTTATCACCCTCAGTAGATTGCTGTGGCATCACAGCTTACAGCAACCTCCAACTCCTGGGCTTAGGCGATCTCTTGCCTTAGCCTCCTGAGTAGCTGGGACTACAGTTGCCTGCCACAATGCTTGGCTATTTTTTATTGCAGTTTGGCTGGGGCTGGGTTTGAAACTGCCACCCTTGGCATATGGGGCCAGCACCCTACTCACTGAGCCACAGGCGCCGCCCCTTCATTGTGATTTTTATAGAGATTGTATTGTATTTGTAGATTGCTTTAGGTAGTATT